AGTGGCTGCCACGAGCATTCCTTGCAAGAAGGGAGCAAACCAGCATGAAAGTCTTGTGCTTACTCTTTGGTGAGCTTGCTCTTTTCTTAGCACTCTATAAATATGTTGAGATTTGCCATCTTACCTCCTTTTTATTTTAATTTGCATGTATGTGATGATTGGAGAAGTGTGAGATAAGGAGAAAGAGCTGAGACCTGCACACTCCCAGGGATTCCTGATACACAGATGGGAAGAAATCTAGGGACCAGATCAGGGTTCTTTTAGTCTTCTGGTGTGGGAGATTAAAAGCTGATGTCATGCCTGTCATTTTTGTGCTTTTGTAAAACACTGCCTTTGACTTTTGTAAAACCCCAACACAGTTCAGTCCTGTGGGCAACAAAAATGGTACAGCAACAGGGGAAGAACAGGTGGCTTAAGCTAGTCTAGATGTCTCCAAACCCTTCCTTGCTGGAAGGCTTCAGCCTAAAGAAAAGTTTAGCTAAAGCTCTGTCTTAAGATCTAAGAGAAAATCCCAACATTCCTCTCCTAAACCAATGAAAAGACTCCATTCCTGGTAAACCAGTCTTTGTTTTTGAACACGGGTGATTTAATACCAGTTTGTAAATAAACCCTTCTGCCTCTTCATCCTTTTGCTCTCCCAGTTAACTCTCAAGAGTAAAAACCTTCCAGCTGTTGGTAAAGAGAAGCAATGGAGAGGAGGGAAACTTCCCCCTTGGGTGAAAGAAGGAATAGAAGGATATAAAGGCTTGCTCATGGATGCTGCTGCATTGAAAATGAGGGAAGTTTAGGTCTTGTGTCAGTGTTTCTGAAAACCTGACTTGCACAACTTCTTCCACAGTAGTTGTACCCCTTGATGTTAACCAAAGCAACACTTCACTACACGTGGAAGCCCGTGGGAGAGGATTTGTTTTCTTACCTCTACTTTCTCCTTTTAGTGTCTTGCTTAACTAAATTCCAGGACTTTAAGGATTGCTGCTAAGGAGCACCACACCCCAGAGCTCACTTAGTGAAAAGATTTCAGTTTCAAGTTAGACAAAATACTAACATAAATTCAAAAAGCTATAAATTGGTCACCAATGAAATTTGACTGCAAACTGGAAGACTTCTTCATGTTTGAGAAATTAAGCCCTGGAGCATCTGTCTAAATAGTGCAACAGAAGCAAAGGTCCTAGCTGGTTTAAGATGATGTTTAGCAAGATTATGGAAAGGAGTGTATGACAGGCTAGATGAATGTGTAGGAAGGGAAATTTATGATAGCAGCCAATATTTAGTGTTTGCTGCTCAAGTCAGCAACAGCTTCTTGGTCCACCCCTGCCTTGCTTTGAAGGTGTGCAGGCCATTTTCCAGGATCACAGTTCCGGCTCTTTCCCAGTACCACGCTATAAGCATCGCTTCTCTTCTCTCTCTGTTGGTCCTGCTGGGGTCTGGGCAGGGTGTATGTTTGTTGTTTTTTCTCAGGGATTGAAGAGCTCTCCTCTGAGCTCATCTGGACCATCAGGTTTCAGGCTGTGGTGGGGGTCTCTGGCTGTTACAGGTTCACATGAAGTCGGTGGGAAGGATCACAGTTTAGGATTTTGCGAAGGCCTTTTTGCTTTGCATACAACATACAACAGGACACACCTGATGGTTTTTTCTCTCTTTTTTTCTCCCTCTGCAGTGCAGTTTGCAATGGGAGATCACCAAATTAAGTTCAAATCTGCTTCCCACACTCTCCTGCCTTCCCAAAGGTGCAACCTGGACAGATTTCAGTCTAGTGATGTTGGCATTGTTACTCCGATTGCTCAGTCTCTCACCTCGCTCAACTACTTTTACCTTGTTTGTGTATTTTTACATGTTTATTGTGGGGCCTGGTGCCAAAATCCTTTAGCATTGTGGGAAGGTGCAATCATGTCTTAGCAAACCACTCCTCACAAGTCTCATGCTCTATATTTTAGGAGGCTGGAGCAATTAGCTGAAGTTGTGTCATTTAGATATGTTACAAACTATCCCAAATAAGCCATTGCAAGCTCATAAGTATCTTAGGAAAATGATTGCCAAGTATTTTTCTGTATGTTTGCATGTTCTGAAGTCTGTGTAAATCATGGTAATGTTTGCATTGTCACAAATATGATTTAAAGCTGTGGGTCTCTGGAGTGATAGGTAAAGGTAGAGAGGCAAACCTTTCCCATAACTTTATTAACATGGAATGAAAATACAAGCTAATGGGTGTGTTTGGTGAAACCACCTAGATAGGCATTGGATTTAAGGGCTGTCATAGGTGTAAAAAACATATCTTGAATGCAAACACATGGTGGGTGTGCAACACACAAATGTCCAAAACACAACTTTCAGCCTCCAAAGAGGAAGCAGCTGCTTGTGAACTACAACTGGCAGGTGGGCTGTTTTAACACCACCTGGGATAAACCAAAGTAATGCATTCCTAATTCTCCTGTGAACAAGGGGTCATGAAGTATGAACAGTGGTGAGGAGCCTGCCTGTGCCTCATCCTCTGGCATACCCACAGCTGGGACTCAGAGACCCTGCTTCTGGCATCTCCAGGTGTTGCCAAAAAAGAAGGGCTTAAAATCCCAACAAACCCAAAACAACAGTCTGGGAAGAAGGTTATGATCTTGAATGGAAGGAAAATGTTTGAAGTGAGGGCCCTGCAGGGAGCTGAATACCAGGAGATAGCCTTTGGCAACCCCACCACTGGCTTATTAATAAGCAGCTGTGTGTCCCAGGGGGAGACAAAACCAAACCGCTTTTCACAAACAGATGAGAGACAGAATCACCTTACATACTGTCACTGGTGGAAAAGAGTCTGTGTTTTTCAATTTTTTTTTAAAATTTTATTCATTTTTTTTTAGAAAAGGAATAAACTCTGCATGGTAGAGCATACGGTATATAATTTCAAAACAGAACAAGTTATATGGAATGGATTATTTTCCCAAACTATTTAAAGTTGAACCTAAAATCATTTGTAAATCAACACTCATTGCCATGTAAGACAAAGGAAAACAATCAACATGTTTTTTGTTTGGTACAGATTCTCTCTACCTCTTCAGTCTGAATTTTCCCAAGGTTGGGCAGAAAAGGGGGGAAACTTCTGCCCATTGTCCTAATCATAATTGTACTGACCAAGCTTTGTGCTCTGAAATCTAGCAACATATGGCTTTATATATGTTCCTAAGTGAACAGTGCAACATCATCACCACCTTAAGTGTTTATTCCACATTCAAACTGTAACTGAACATCACTCTGAAACCCTTTTCTGCCCCCAAAACAACAGCAACGACAATGAAAAGCAGAAAGTCGCCAGCAATCAGATTTCATCCCAGAAATCTGTGTAAACTGTAGATCAGGGTTGGGTAGCAGCACAGAAGGCAAAAAATGTGACAGCTTGATTCAATAGCATCTCTAAAGACTACTGTAAGACTGTCATTCTTTAGTCTGCATCTTGCAATCACAATTTGCTTTTTCCCTGCAATGCTATAAAGCAATATAAGAAAAAAAATCAGACTCAAAAGCAAAAGGGAGAAGCCTTTGTGGAAAGGTAAAGCTTCTGCTTAGTCTTGAGTGGTGGCTATTAGAAACAGATCTCTGCAATCAGAAACAAATCTTGAATGTATATACACAATTTGGGTGGAAAGGGATAGGGCCAAGGGCGGAAGCCCTCCTAGCTGACCCACAGACTGTTTTGGATCATAGGTCCACACTACACCCACTGCCTTTTTGGCCTGAATAAACCAGCAAGGCAGCCGCAGGCTCCAGGTGTGCTGCAGGCTCTTGCCTCCACTGTTCCATGGCTGTGTGGGGGCTAGGAGAAGAAGGAGGAGGGAGTAAGAGTGCTGTCAAGGGCCCCCCTCCCTTCACTTTGCAGCTGGCTGAGTGACGCGTGCGTTGCAGCGACACGGGATGTTACACTGGGAAGGTTTAAGTGCACACTTTCCTCTTCATCCCCTCCTCCCCAACCCTGTTGGAATGTATCTATATCAGTAATCAGGTAAGTATTAATAATAACTGTAAGCTAGTATAGTCACCCGCCCCTTTAGAATGGGGGAAGAGCAGTAGCATCAAACAAACTCCCCGTTTGTCCTGATGTGTAACCTTTCCAGATCCTGTAGAGAAACTGTATGCAGGCTTTTTTCATACTAGAATTTAAAGGAATCAAAGCTGGTAAAGAAACTGGATGTTTCCTGGCCTAACTGAAGGAAATAGTAAAACTGATTAAAGTAAGAGTGAAAGAAAGTAAGCATTAGTGTGTTTGCATCCTCTGGTATGTCCCACTTCTCTGCGTTCTGCTCACAAGCCCTTTCCATACTCTGAGCAAGCACTCCTAAACTTAGAGAGGTAAGGCTTCAGCTGAAATCTCACAGTTGAGACTATTATTTATTTTATAATTACCACAAATGTAATAACTTGACTTTAGTGGATCCATGTGGGGCACGTTGAGGGCAAGGCTTGGTAAGTGAACCAGCACAGGAGAAGATTGGGCAGGGGTGGAATCCCACATGATAACAGCAATTGAACCATGTCCATCAGCATGGCATCAGCTTTGTGTGCATATAGCATCAGGAGCTTGGATAATGCCTGTGAGCTCTCTGGGTGTCCAGTCAGAACTAGGGAAGCTGCAAGAAGTTTTACCATAAAACTCCAGTACTGCAATGTCTAAAGGAACTGAATCTCAATGGGCACAGATTTTAGGTTTTGCACAGTCAATCCTAATTAAAACCCCAAAACTATCATGGCTGATGCCCCTGCTGTTGGAGCCTTAAGACACCCGTTATACTGCTGAGCCCTACTCTTTTTTTTTTTTTTT